GTCGCCAATACCTTTCGCTTGCAACAACCTATTATCAGCAAGTTTGACCTTTCTCTTCTTCAACTCGTCAAAATCTGCTAACCACACTTTTCTATCAGTCATGTGATTCGAGTATCCTATGTCGAGGAACCGGGTCTTGGTGTCGACATGCTCATCTACAACTGCAGCCATAAGTACCATGTCTTCATAATCATCTGAATCTTGGCGTGCAAGGTTTGCTCCTTAATTTTTCCCTTTCTTGTACCAACAATTCTTGGCCAAATGACCCTACTTTTCAAATTTATATCACTGCACACCTTTTTTTTTCTTCTTTGTCTTTCTGATATGAGTTTCCTTCTCCTCTTTTGGAGGATTCAGAAGCCTTATCATCGACCTTATGCTTTTGAGGGTTCGACCAAGACTTCTTACTCTGAGTTTTATTTCCCTTGAACTTGTTGGAACCACCATGTTTCTTCCATGTAGGAGCTTGTAGATCTTGTATCGAATCTTGAACACCTTCCATTTTGAAAATCCTCATCTCATGAGCCTCAAATAAACCAACCAAATCTTCCAATTTCAATGTATCACGATTGATGAATTCTTAAATAGCAAAAATAATGTGATCAAAGTGAGAGGTAAATGTACACATTACCTTTTCAATTATCATCTTATCAGTTAGGATTTCACAACAACCCTTCATGAGATGAGCAAACTTCTGCACCTTCGAGACATAGCCTGCAATCTTTTTTTCTTCTTCCATCTGCAATAATTCATATTGCATTCACAACGTCTATAATTTGATGACTTTAACCTTCTCACCTCCTTCATAATACTTGATAAGAATATCTCATTCCTCATTCGCTAATTCAGCATGAAAAATTCAATCAAAGTTCACTACGTCTACCGCCGATTGAGTATAAAATACAATCTTGCAATCTTTCTTTTTGGCCTCCTTGTTCGTAACTCTCTGAGCATCAGCTGCGTTCTCAATAAGCTCATGGATGCCAGTAGTAACCACTTCTAAGGTTTCATGAAAGCCAAATAGAGATTGCATTTGTTTTCTCCATAGAATCCAATTTTTGCCGTCAAGAATTGGAAGAGAACTCAGAATTTCATTGTTACCATTCATCTTTGCAGCAAATACGATTAACAACCCACGGTTCCGGAAACACAATCACCAACGTGTGATTCTTAAAAACACAATCAAGAAACTAACCAGAGCTATAGATATCAATTTGTTAGTGGGTGAGAGGACACAAAAAATGAGAAAGAATGAAAATAAGGATTGATATTATTGGACTATGATTCTACAAACTGAATTACAAAATATGTCTATTTATATTCAACTAGCTTGAATACTACTCCCTCTGATCACTATCATAAGCAAAGATTCTCTGTTTAGATTCATTGAATAATAAATGTATTTGATCTCTATGTAGAGCAGATACATCAGTTAGTGAATGAACCTGAAAAGAGAATCTTTGTTTATAATAGTGACCGGAGGAAATAAATAACAAACCCTAAACTCTAATTAATTTTGAATTTGGACTACACAACTTAAATTATGTCGCAAACAAATACTTGATTACATTGTACAAGCACTACACGATATTTATTTGCTTGTATTACCTAGGGGTGTGCAGAACTCAACCCAACCTGAAGACCTGTCCCAACCCAATAGTTTCGGGTTAGTCTTTTTCCCATCTCATGTAAAAAAATGGAAAAAAATTATTGTCCATAAATGAACCCGGTATCAGGTGGGACGGGTTCGAGTTGGCCCTCGGGTTACCCAACCCGTCCTAATAATATGAATGTACATGTGGTACTATTTATTTATTTAATTTATTGGTATATTTAGTTTATTTCAAATTTCTAATAGACTTTTTCACTTTCCACCTCATAATTTAATATATGCATTAAGTAAATACTAAATACGCATCTTCCCACATCCCAACTTTCACACTTTTCTAGTTCTCTTACATCATGTTTTTTATTTTACATCTTCTTACTATGTTTTAGGGAAAATAGAAAGGTGATGACATATATAGAATTGCATCATATTTTTTATTTTAAAAAATTGACTTTAGATGTATTCATTGTGTTTCATTCATGCTAATGATTTTATTCATATTTCTTATTTAAATGAATTTTTTAAAATACTATAATAAATTTTTTAAGTCACTAAATTTTTTTCTCCATAAATTTTGGGTCAATCCGATATCGTCTTACATTAACCCGGTCTAAACTAACTTATATATTATCGGGTTTTTTACGGATTTAGGTACAAGTTAGGGTCATTAAAATAGTCCGATCAAAATTTAGGACAGGGTTAGAATTAGTCATAACCCATCCCGACTCGTCCCTTGCTCACCCCTACTTACCAATGTTTTTGTTTGCAAGTGTATTAGAATACAATCTAATTTAATTACATATTTAATTTTAGTAAATTAATTTTAATTTAAAATAGTTATTTTTATTTAAAGTTTATAATTTAGTGATATTAAATTGTATATTAATCGAATTACATGACTAATTCAAATAGCATTGCATTTAACCCCTTTCTATTTTATTTTTCTTTTACTTTATGGTTCATTAACATTTAATTTACTCTGAAATGATACTAATTACAATCTAATTGTTATTATTACTACTATTATTATTATTTTGTTGTTTTTCAATATTACTCTACAAATTTTTCTATACAACTTCACTCCTGATTCATCTCTTATACTCTACGAATAATTTTTTATTTAATATTTTATACTACTGATATTATTTTAAATAAATTCATAGATACCAATGAATTTTATTGGATATCGATACTTTAATGTAAATTAGTTTAAATTTTTTATTGTTTTAAAAATAAAATAAAATAAAAATGTGATATGACATTGAATACTATTATTTGATTGAATAAATCATTTAAATTCAAGGGTACCAAATTATTCACCATTATTTTATATTATTAATTTATATAAATCTTCCAACGATCAACTCTGCCAATGTAATGTCAATAAATTTATATAAACCTCCTATCCAATTAACTTTTAATAATAGTTTTTATATATGCATTAATTTATACAAACCATATATATAATTCATAGAAATAATTTAATGAAATCATTGTCAACGAAATTATAAAAAATTTCAAAAAGTCATTTTAAACCAATTATTTCTTTATATATGATAGACTTAACAATCACTTCATTAGATTTGAACAATGAAATAATATTTTAATTTATTTTTTATTTAATATTAAAATCAACTGATATTCAAATTAAAATACAATCACAAATAAAATGGTGGTTTGATAAATTCCAAACTTTCTTCAACTAATCAATTGAATTATATAAAAAGACTCAATTCTTTTAAACACATCTATATTGTTTATAAATTAATGATATTTCTATACGAATATTTAACACGATTGAGTTTCTACGATCATTATTTATTTTACAATTAAATAACTCATTTCAAATTTCAAATTAAATAACTCATTGTTTAATACGAATATTTTTAAATAACTCATTACAATTAAATAACCGTATCAAATTGGATAATTCTACACGTGGTCCTATTTTTTAAGAGAAAGTTGACTTTTTAGATTCATTAATAATCAATGTATCTGGTGCATGATAAAGTCTAGATACATTGATTATTCAATGAATCTAAAAAATAAATTTTCTCTTATAAATAGAATCAGTGGTAGTACTTCATAGTCGTGCAAACAACTAACTTTCCATTTCATAGTCGTGCAACTCCACTTTAACATCCTCTTCTTCAATTTCCATTTCAACTTCTCCATCTATTACTTTCAACAACAGCAGCAGCAACAATTTATTATTATTATTATTAAATTATTTTACTCTATCTCTAAGCATGACTTATAGATGATTTCCATTTTAATTTTTTTAAATATCATGTTCACATTTGCTCTTTCAAAATCTTTTTCTAAAAGATAATGATTGAATTTATCATACTAAGTTTTAAGAGCTTCTTTAAAATCATAAACTCCTCCTCAAAGACATAGTAGAGTGTCAATCGAACAAAACATTTTTAGATGGATGATTACAATATTGTCGAGTGGTATCTTGTGTGCATTTTATAGGTTGTTGGTAGAATTGGCTAGTCATATTTTTGTCACCTGTGGTTTTGTTTTGCACATGTGGTATATGATCTTTTATTGGCTTGATTTGAATTTAACTTGTTTATTTGAGGTTTTTCAGAGACTTGGAGATTCTTGATTTAGAGTGATTCCTTACTCTAAGTAATATCTACTTTGGCATTAAGTTAATCCTTTCTTGGAATAAGCTACTTCAAGACCTAGAAAATATTTCAATTTGCTTAGGTTCTTGATTTTAAATGTGACGAAGAACCTGTTTGATTTTGTCAAACTCAGGTAATGAATTTCCTACAATTATGATGTCATGTCATCAACATATACTAAGTAAAGTATGAATAAGGAATGGCTTGAGTTGGCCTTCATGAAATTTGTGGCAAAGAGAATAGATATGAGCTTTTCATACAATTTCATGTTTGTTTGTTTAAGATCATACAAAGATTTGATGAGTTTGCACACTTAATGGGGCGTATATGGAAAAAATTCTGATGAGTTTGCACATCTTACAAAATAAAGCAACAATACAAAATAAAGCACATTCAAATATTCAACACAGTTAAGTCTACAAACATTTTGCACCAGGCACACGTATAAGAAAAATCTCAAAATACACATCAGATACAACACAACAATGGTAAACTTGAAGAAAGAGTTCAATTCAGTAAGTGGCTTATGAGGACTATGACCACAAATAAAACATCTTCTATGAAAATTGTACAAGAGTTTTGTCTGTCACAGAGAAACACAAGTCTCTTTTCCTGTAGTAAAGATATGAGGTATGCAGCCAAATAATTTGTGTATGAGAAAATCTTTGAAAGCCACAGATTACGTGTGAAAACGAAGGGTATCTAACCGAACCACCTAAGAAAGATGATGATATTTTTTGCTATTCGATCTTATGCTATAAAATAACACAACCACATCTTTGCTGTGTTGCGTCGCCTGCGGCCTTCTTCTCTGTATAAGCAGAAAATACCAACAATGTCAAAATGTGTCAGAATGTAAACTAAAGAAGACACGTAGTATTATTTGGACACAACTTTGACATCAAATTAGATGGTTAACATAATTCATACGTGGTTAACACAGTTCAATTCATGTAATGAATCTAACAAGGTATCGCAACTCATTAACCATCAACTAAACACAATTAACCACGATTATGAATATCATTTACCATGATTTGCAAGTGCTCAAATATACACATATACCTTTCGTTAATTGTGTTGAGTATATGATTGATGAACTACAACACCTTTTTTATATTCATTAACCATCAATTGGACTTTGTTAATCACATATTTGTATTGCTTTAACCATATAATTTGATGTCAAAATTGTGTCCGAATAAAGAAAAAAGGGATGACTTTTCTATGACAGCTTTTATAGGATGATACCTCATAATTAATCTGTCAATCAAGGACAGGTCTTAACAGTTATGAAACACTTATGTTACGCAATTTTTACTAGCAAAGTCAAAACGTAACAACAATCACTTGATAAAAAAGGACTGCATACATAGGTATTTGAATCAACTTAAATCTATAAGTATAACAGTTTTGCTGATATTGGATGGTGGATTACGGCGGCCGACCAAAAATCCTTCATATATACATGGTGCTGCATCCTATGCCGTGGCCTATGGCGACTGGCATAAAATCCTCCATGAAATAACGCCTTCTATTTACCCGCCCAACCGACAGAAATTTGACAATACAGATGTATCAGTCAACAGACCTTTTATTTACCCGCCCAACCGATGAAAGTCGTGAGACTATATGCTAGTTATAATAGAAAGGAAATAAACCATTTCTACTAGTAAGAACAGAAATGGTAAAAGAATGTTATGCAAAAGTCAATAAAACTATTTGGTAATCAAATCACAGTCAAACTTTGAAAAGAATAGTTTATCATTATTAAGCTGCATTCACAAGCACGCACAGAAAAATTAGAACAAGATTTTGGCAGTATTGGAGATAAAAACTAGACCTTTGTCTGTAGTAGGTGGCTGCACAACCACATGCATTGTTGTAACTGTACCAGGTGTATCACATAAAGGATTCTGGCTCTGGCATTCCCCAACTGTGCTGTTGTTCTCCAATATTTTTCCTGCGCTAATTAACTTCAAATCTTTTATTGTCTTCGGCCCATTCTCTTTATCTGCAAAACACAACACAAACATACAGTTACACATCTCATTTATCAATACAATTACAGGAAAAAGTACGATGTGCGCAAGTAATACATCAATAATATTTTAAAACCGAACCAAACATCGAATGGCAAAACTTTTTAGTGATTTATGGTCCAACCGCGTTAAACCACTTGAATCGAGATGAAACCACAGTCGAACTACTAAGATAACCGAACCATGGGGAAGGTCAATATTCAAGGTTTAACCAGTTGAACCTTCAAAAAGACGGACAGGAAATGAATTTTAAGAAACAAACTACTAAATGAGGGACAAATTACTAGTATTTTACATATTTTAAGTTTAAGGACCTATTCCAAGACTTATATCGCCTTATATACTTCAATTAATGAAATCATACACAGTTTTTTTCTATGAAATATGCAAAGTATTCTTAATTTTGAAGGAAATCTTTCTTAAAAGAATTGAGCAAACAAAGTCTTCTCCACATAAATGCATTCAACATAGCTTTGCACAAGCATATGAAGGACCGCATGTCTTTAACACATTAAAATTCAAAATGTCATATTAAATGGAAACATATTTCAATTCATTTTCTTCTATGATCATATCACAAGCATGAAATGTTTTGATATTCTGTCATTTACACAATGGATACACTGAAAAAGGTGATAACTATATACATCCTCAATACACATCCTCTAAAATAATGAAGTCATAAAACCCATAAGCCTCAAATAACCCTGCACCTTCTGTCACAGTTTTTTAATCCATCCAACCAAACCACCTGTTTTTCTTTATTTTCTTTTTATCTTTAGGAATCGAACTTTGGAATGAAAGTTCAACAAAAGGAAAAATGTTTCTAACATAGAGGTGAAATTTGCAGACTATATCATCTCACAAATCACGTTGTTTAAATATCTTGAACCCGTGATACAAAACAATAGAGAAATAGAAATGGATGTAAATCATCGAATTCAAACGGGGTGGCTGAAATGGAGGAAGACTTCAAGAGTTTCATGTGACACAAAGGTACCTCTGGAAATTTTATCAGTTATAGTAAGACGTGCGATGTCCTACAGGACTGATGTTGAGGTGTTAAGAATCATCAACAGAATAAAGTAAGTAGTAAGTGTAGCAAAAATCAGGATGCTGTGTTGCGTTGGACGTGTGGCAAGTTAAACATAGAAATGGCAATATTAAAGAGGGATGGGATAACACCTATAGTAGTAGAAAAGAAGGTGGAAACTATAGAAAAGATGGTAGAAAATAGACTTAGGTGGTTTGGGCATGTAGAGAGAATATATCAGATGGAGAGGAATCAAACAGGTAGTGTCATACCTATAAAAACCATAAGAGAAGTTATGAAGAAAGATCTTAAGATTAACAATTTGGATTGAAACATGATATTGGATAAACATTATGGCGAGAGTTGATTCATGTAGCCGACTAGCCGACCCCACTTAATAGGATAAGGTTTGGTTGTTGTTGTTGTTGTTATTGTTTAAGAATCGAACTTGGAACCCTAGGGGTTTACAATACTCAAACACCCTATGCACCAACCACTTGCCATAGACCCCAGCAGTACCTTCCTCTCTTGACGCATGAACACAAAGTTTCTTACCCAAAACAAGAATAATAACAAAGCTCCATCGCAATTCTGACATAGACAATTTGCTATTAAGCTGAAAAAAACTAAAGAGAAATCATAAAAACACAATTAACCTTTTGGCCATTGAGCAAGAATACTTTCTTTCAACGTTGCAATACTCGTAGCAGCTGGAAAACTTTTCGGGCCAATATCAGAACCATCTGTCAACCTAAACTTGATCTCAAACTGCTCTTGGTTCCCGGTCATGCTCAGAGATCCAAGAAATTTGCAAAGATTCCAAAGACCAGAGACAGGTTTCCTATGAAACACTTCAACTCACTTTAATTACTAAATAGTAAATTACAACTTATCACCACTCGAGTTTCTGCAAAAACAACACACCAACAAAAGTTTAACCAAGAGTTATCAAACACACAAATTTTATATAAAACCAACAAGATGCAGAATCTATTAAACAAAACCATATCAATCATACAAGTTTCAAAAAATTTATACTTCACTGCAAAATCTAGCCAAGAAAAAACATAGGAACCGTGAGAAATTAATAATCGAAACCCAGCATGTTCTTACAAGAAAACATCATAAGACATGTAAATAAAATAAAAAATTAAAAAAACCATAACATGATTCAAACAAACTATCACACACCTTACGTGCATAAAACAGATCTAATATTCAAACAGTTATGCACCCAAAAAAACATAACAAACCTTAAGGACTTGATTTGTTTTTTGTTTAATGTTTTTTGTTTTTGTTTTTGTTTTTGGTTTTTCTGAGTTGGGTATGGATGCAAGTGAAGTTAACGAGAATTTGGTTTTTGTAAAAACCTAGATGGATGAAAGAGGAAGAAGATGAAGAAGAAGAAAAAGAGAAAGAGGGTGCTTTTTCTTCTTCTTTGTTTTTTTTTTTTTTAATGTTTTTTGTTTGAGTTGGTTTGTGAAATGCAAAGCAATAATTGAATATTAATATGGGAGAAAAGGAACAAGGAACGAGGGTAGTTCGGAATTTTCAAAGTAATGGAAATTTGTGGTCAATGGTTCCATTCTTTGGTTGTTGGTTTCTCCATTCTCCTAATCTCCGAAGGCTGTGGAAATTGAAAAAACTTAGTACCATTTGTGTGTTTTTTTATTACATCAAATATGCAAGTTGGTTTTGGACATATGTTTATCATTTTAGTTTAGTATTATGGGACTAATATTCTATATTTACCTAAATAAGGGTGATTTTGTGAATGGTACAAAATGTGGTTTTGGGGAAATTAAGGTGCATCATCACTATTTCCACAAATGTGATATAATATCAAAAATAGTTTTTTTTATATTTTTCTAGAATTTAATTGAAATGCATTGTCAGTGAATTATAACTATTAAATTTTTATAGATATTTGACTTTTTTTTTAATTATATATAAAATATTATTTGTGAATGATTGTGATGCATCGACCGTGTAAATATTTTACACTGACAGTGTTGTTTACTGTCAAAATTAGTAAATAACCGCTAGCCTTTCAAAGTTGTTAAATATTTAGTCACTTACAGGATCGACTAAATTGATCTTAGGAGATGTGTTGTTATTTAGTTTCTGGGTTTATTAATGATAAACATTTCGACAATGTTGTTAAAGTTGTTAATGAAGTATTGTAAATTCTTTAAAGAAATGCAGTAAGATTGTAAAGTAAAGGCTTTAGGGTAAATGACAAGATCTTAAATTGTATTAAATGTAAATTATAATGGAAATCCGAAATAATCTTGTAAAAGTGTAAAATGTGATGATCATACATATATTTTCACTAAGGAATAATTTTTTCTCACACAGAGGTACTTAGAGAAAATTTAGAGTTTTTTGTACAGGTTGGACATCTCGAATATTAACTGCTAAGACTTTTATTTATACTAAATCGAAAATAACTGATATTTAATGGTCTTCTTGCCAGGAAGCGTCACGTCTTCAATCTGCATGCATTTCGTCGCTTCAAAGCTCTCTACGTGTCTTGAAAAACGGATAAGGCCAAAAAATATTTATCAGCCTTAAATTTCAATGGCACCTGTCGAACGCTTCTTCAGGTAGTTGCGTCGAACTCTAATCGAGACTAAAAATCTTTTTAAATCTTAAACCATAACATCCTTCATGCAAAGGTCTCTTTGACCGAATTTTCAGTATTTTTCTATCGAAAAACAATATATTCTCTCTCAGAATTATTCTTCAAACTCCCATGACTCACTTCAAATCTTCTCATACGTTGAAACGTCATTATAATTGTTTATTGTCGAAATCATTATGCTCTTCTTTAAAATATACCTTTAAATCATATGACTTACTTTCCAATATTAATGAGTGTCGAAATCCAAGTCAACAAGTACATAACAATTATTCTCATTTTTCTTAAATTTTTAATAAATTTTAATTATTGAATAAAAATAACAAAAAGATGAGAGATACAAATCTAATTTATCAAACAACTAGTAAAAATAATATTAAGTTATCTAGCAAAAAAGAATTTAAAAATATAAATAGAAAGTAAATTTTAGCAAATGTCATAATAAAAAAATATATAAGTATTGGCTAAATTATTTACATATGTATTTTTCTTTATAAAAATATGAGATATCTTTAATTTAAAGAAACATATAGTATAGTGAGTAAAATATTATTCTATTTAATTAAAAGATGTCAAGTGCAATATGCACGTAGGAAATACACTAATGAAAATTTTAAAATTTGAAATATACTTCTGAAAGTTTTAAAATTTCTGATATTTTATTCTTTTTTATTAGAAATTTTAAAAATCTAATAATATAAATTTTTTTACTTGATTCAAATATTTTTTAGGAAAATTTTGAAATTATAAAAATTTAGGAGGTGCAAGATATAAATTTGAGGGTAACGAGTTAAATTTTCTAAACACCTTAAGTCTTATTTTTTTTTTACAATATATCGGGCCTCCAAATAAATTAAATAATTTTCAACGAAAGCATAATTTTAATGTAAAATGTACAATAGTTTAATGGTAAGAAGCTTTCAATTTTTTTGAATGCAACATTTCAAATCCTCGTAATGTAAATTTTGTAGTTGCATTTTGCTTCATTTAACTAGGCCATTGATCTAACCATACAATTATCATTTATAATTAATCATTTATTTTAAAATTTGATAAATGTCTTTTTTAATAAATAAAATTAATAGTAAATAGATATAGTTATATTTTATTTTTTATTTGAAAAAATATGTGTAATTTTGATTTTAATATCTTATATATTTATTTATTTCTTAAATTATATAAATATAATAAGTAATTATTTCTATAATGTAACTCAAAAAGTACATAAAATTAGTAAATTTAATTCACACTTTCAAGATAATAAAAAATAACATGAATTTTTTAATATTAATTAAGAATTAAATTAATAAAATCAATATATTTAATATTATATTATTTAGAGACTTAAGTAAAATTAAAAAAAATAACTAAGGTTTTTTATTTGAAAATAAAAATTAATATTATTTTTATTAATATATATATTTTTACTCTTAAAAAAATTATTTTAAATTTTACCCTCCAAATTGTAAACAATTATTGAGATCAAATAAAATAACAAAGATAGAAAGTAATAAGTGTTACTCTCTTCACCACTTTTATATATATATATATATATATATATATATATATATATATATATATATATATATATATATATATATATATATATATATATATATATATATATATATATATATATATATATATATATATATATATATATATATATATATATATATATATATATATATATATATATATATATATATATATATATATATATATATATATATATATATATATATATATATATATATATATAAAATATTTAAAAAGTAAAATTTATTTATGATAAGGAACAAGGAGAATAGATTTGTAAGTAAGGAATAAAAAGCAATGAAAAATTTATACATTGACTAAGAGAGTAAACTTAAATCTCTATCTATTTCGCTTGAGGTTGTTTATAATTTAAGGAATTATTTTTTATAGTTATGTGTTGAAATATTCTTGTACTTGTTAAAAGTAAAAATATATGATAACCCTTATTGATTAAGGGTTTTCAGAGATTTTTTAAGTTTATTGTGGTATTAGAGCTAGCTCACACATGGACGTGAGAAGCTTTGTACGTAGTATTTTTGCGTAATAAATTGGTTTCCTTCTCAACCTCAGGGTTCAAGTATTTATAAAAAATTCCTAAGCACGGATCTTAGGCTCTCAACAAGTAATAACTGCTTCAAGGAGCGCGGGAATGAGGCAGTTAATCCCATATAAATCATGAGAACCTGACCAATCCCCAATTGACTCCCTTTTCACACCATTTTGCACTAGGACACGTCTATTACCACGTCATTCAGGGAGTGGGCAACATATTTGAGAAATGGGATCCCATCCTAATAAAAGAGGACATAAATTCATGTGGGTGACGTTCCACCTCACATATTTTGAGATACTTTGGTCGCCCTTCTAGAAAGACCTTTTCACTTATACGAATATATAGTCCCTCGAGCACAAGGTCTTTATAAAGGGTGAAGTGATTTAGTTGATTTTCGTTTCTTATCTTGACGAGTCCCTCAAGTATGCCTAAGGCGAGTCTCTCATGTATGGGACAAGTCCCTCATTGTGAAGGTGATAATGTCGCCCCTAGGGGACAAGGATTCCTTTGTGAGGATTCAATGTACGTGATCACCTTGAAGGGTGACAAAGACTCCTTCATTAGGGTCCAACATATGCAACCGCCATGAAAGGCGAAAAGAATTCCTCCACGAGGATTCACCATGGATAAACTCCTCGAAGGGCGACAAGTATTTCTCCATGAGGATCTAATGTGTATCATTTCCTTTATGGAACATCAATAGGATTCTTTTTTCTTATGTTTCGACAAAAAAAAAATTAACAACAAATTCGAATATATAAAACGTGAAGCGACTCCTTAAAAACCCATTCGACTTATTGCTAACGTAGGAAAAAAATGCCCCCACAAACAAAGGAGGTCCTGAATTAACCATACAAATGGCAGATACATGGTCTCGCCTTAAATAAACCCAACAAGTAAATTAAATTAAACTAAATATGGCTTGACGCCTAAACAATTAAAGGCTTTTAAAAAATACCTTTCGCCTTCATGCCTTTCTGAAGCAGTGTGGTCGGGTCTTCATCCTTGGGCAATACTTCTTGTGAGTTGGCTCTTGTCTTTACATCTACAATGCTT